CTCGCAGCTACTTCGGTGCTGAATTTTTGGAATTTTCGTTTAATACTGGCAGAAATTCGCATTTATTGCGTGGTACAGTGCGAGTTCCTTGCATTTGTCAAGCAGATCGATTCGAATAGAAGACAACGTGCACTTGTACCGTGCACAAAACTATTGTACTATATAAAGATCACGGGAAAGTATGATAAATCCATCTTTGTTAATTTTACGTGTATCGTTATGACACTTTTATGCTAAGAAGAACTATTTGAATATGATACAGCGGAAAAAAGGAACAACCTGATAGATTTGAAGATATAAACTTGAAAATGGTACTGGTGATAAGCGTACGATGTTCTTATAAGAAACGAATAATATTAGTTTAGTTACCACGTGAATTTAATTTAACCGATATTAGTTATTAATATCGTTAAAGCATTCAGAAAGGTGACGAAAACATATATTTAATGCTAAAGTTAAATGCGAAGATAGATCTGACGTGGAATTCCACCAATTGTTAACAACATACAGAGTTTTAAAGTATATGGTGGCATACAAGAGAGAAAATGTAATTTATGTGTTACATCCGTAACCTTTGTACCATATATATGTATAATATGAAAATCAAATGTTAAAGATCAAAGTAAATGAAATGTCAAAAAGGATTCGTTGATTTTTAATGCTTTATGGATGATGTTTGTCAGGATTATTGCTGTGTTTGTATTCATAGTACCTACTTTGTGCGAACAAATTGATGTAGTATGGATCTTTGCGTACAATGGGGAAATACGGCTATATGATTCCTTTGTCCGCCGTATAAGCGTCTTTAGTGGATAGACAAGACAAGTACGAAGAAGGTGCATTTTATTTTCAAATAAAATACAAATCTCACAAAGCGTGCGTTTTACGAAGGATTTAATATTAAAATTTCGACTAATTTCATTGGAAAGCTCTGTCGAAAAAAGCTGGCGCTAATTGGACGAGCTCGGAACGTTAAGATAACGAAATAGGTTTGTAAATGAAAATTTTTAAGTTGTATGGAAGATAAAAAGCCGAGGTGGTTGCCACGAAAAGTGAGTGTAATGGAATTTTTTCGCGTCTTCTTTGTTCATCAGCGTAAAAGCATCGTACACGACGTAAGTAAAATTCGCAATTAAGTTCTACTGCTTAAAAAGTCTACTCTTCTATACGTTGAACCTTGACCGCGATTCCACCACAGTGCACTCTACACGAGGTGAAAACGAACCTCCGACGCGTCAAGCTTTCCCTTGACGACCGAACTGGTTCCCCTGAATTTTAAAGTATACCAGAGAACGCTAATGATCCTCAGCAAACAATTTTGTTTATAAAGACACCGTGTATAACGCGATAATAAAGATCGTAAATATAATTATTTACATTTACACAAATTTTGTACAGCATAAAACTTGAAAATCGTGTTTGTCATAAAGAAATCTAATTATTTCCATCGACGACTTATCTTACATTGTACATTTCAATCACCAACTTCTGCATCTTAAGATTCAACATACTCAATTGAATTTCTTCAGAAGTTACGACTCTTATATGTCTCTTTCGGCAAATATACCAAGTATTCCGATAGACTGGAAGAAACAGCGTACCGTGGAAGTACGCGTGGCGCGACCGCGTGGACAACAATCCACCGCAAGTGTATTTTAATCCGGCGATTTATATCGGAATACGTAATGTACGTGCGACGTGACGTCGACCAGGAATCGGCTGAGAACTCTCTTAAAACTCCCTGCAACGAGCGACTCGGGTGAATCGGGGTGGACGAGGGGCGAGGACGGGTATCATAAGCGAGGTCAAGTACCGATGACGCGTTCCGTTGATATATTTTCGCCGCGGTCTTTCGCATAATTCCGTAAAAATATACAGAGCGAGTGGTGGTGAAGTGGTAGAGAGCGCCCTTCGAGTAGCAAAGAAAGCCGCCGTGCGCTGTATAACTTGGCAAGGCAACGAACCTTCCAACTATCCTCATCCTCCTCCAACGTCACCACCACCTCTCGTGCCACGACCTCCTCCTCGCCTTTTCGTCGACTTAGCCGGTAGTTCTCTACCTACATACCTACACGAGTGGAAGAAAGACACCGCCATTTCTATAGGCATTCATCATTCACTCTTCGCTCAACGTTCCTCTCTTCCTCCGCCTCGTTCTCTGTCTCTCGCGCATTCTTTCCTCCCCTTGCTCGGCGCCCTCTTACATCAACCACTGTTTCTGTATTTGTTCGTCTCACTCTCGCGTCCACTTTCTCCGTTCCCTTTCCACCCTCGCGCGAGACATCTCGCTCGCTTCTTCTCCGTCTTACCCTTGCCCACGGCGTTTTCACCCGTGGCCGCCACGCTTTCCTTCTCTCCATAGTCATTTCCCACAACTTCTAGCGTTACGCAGCTGAGATGCGCATTGACGGTAATCTAGCAGGCTTTTAACCGAATATCACGCTTCTCCGTCGAGCGAGACATTGATGACCGATTTTTGAATCCCACCGGGAAATTATTGGCATTAAGAAGGAAGTGGGGAAAGAGAGTACGTAGAGTAAGTAGAGTAAGGGACAGACGGAAGAATGTTTCCGGCAAATTCTGTGGGGAATGAAACTTTTTGAGAGGATACCCTCTAGATAAGAATCGAAGACCATAGGTGAGAAATAGTTTGTATAGTTTGAGTCTGGTTCACGTGTATTTTGATCTTTTTGATATTCTGATTTCGATATTGGTACCTGGCTAATTTTAATGCTTTAATAATGGAATATTGCGAAGACATAAGGATTTCAAGTAATATGTAATTTGAATTATGTTAAATCAATAATGTAGGAATAATAACCAAAGCCTCTTTAACGCGTACGCTTGACCAGCGCCACATACGTGCGACGCTTTAAGATTAATCTGGATTTAATTTTTAGCTGAGAAATAAATGAACGCGTAACCGATGTGCTTGATCAACAGAAAAAGATCTCAAAGTAATGTTTATAATAAAAATATATTGTATTATTAAAGATTCATAAAAGTAACGGAAATAAAATATGACGTGTGATAGACGTTAATGTTTTATTAAATTTTCATTGTTCGCGATAAATGTTTGATCGATAAAGTGTTAATACGGTGGATACTTGAAACTATCACTGTGTGGCAATATAAAAATTAAAAAGAGGGCTAACCTGATAAATCCATAAATGCACGTCTCTTAAAACTAACTATTAAATCTACGAAATCTACCATGAAATGAACAATATAATTTCGTAATAATAATAAATACTAAATATTCTTCGAGCAAACGACAAATATATTTAATCTGGAAAACCAAATAAAAACACAGTATCGATAATATCGAATTAATTAACACGTTAAGTATCATACTACTGCTCTACGGTTCTACTGTAAAAACGAAAAGTGTGATTTATCATGTTTCTCCCTATTTCCAATTGCGAATATTTTTTAACGTATCTCCCTTTCCTTGTTTAATTACGCGCACTTTGTGTGCTCACAAACGTGTCGTTCAAACTTACGCTCCCAAGCGTCTATATGTACGATGGCGTCATTCGGTGGCAGAGTTAATATTAGGGTTGCTATAACGTTATATGAAATAACTTTAAACTCAGCTTAATTAAGTTGAAACTTCGACGTAAAGATTTCGATTTCGAGAAAATTATTTTAATTGGTGGTACCGAAACGATTTATGTAGATACTTGTGTATGTATGCTATTTGATAATTGAATTTCAATATATATAGATTTATGATGACTTTCGTTCGTAGGAAATTAAAGAAACAAATTGTATACCTGTTATGACATCGGATAAACGCCGCGGGTTTCGAAAAACGTGCTCAGTATTTTAAAACTTTTCAGTATTCTGTTCAACCAATGATTTTGAGATAAATAGCGAATATTTTTTTAATCGTGGTTATTTCAACCAGAAACGTAACCAATGATGGATTGATCAATCGGTACAATTCTATCACGGGTTTGCATTTCATGATTTCGCTATCAGATGGTTTACTCGAATCTATTCCCTCGTAAACACAGAGGCAAATACTAATTTAATGTAACGGAAAAAAAATAGTAATAACGTAAATCGTAACATTTATATTAGTAATAATTTTGCTTTGTATTACTGAAATCGATGTTTAATTGAAAGCATGCGATGAAATAATACTTCGTATGTATGAGGCCACTTAAAAAAAGGATACGTAATGCGAATTTAATACGTTTCATAATTTATTATTCGTTCTTTTCATTATTGTTTTCCGAACAATTGTACGTATGGATATAACAATATAATTCTACGTGATAAAGCATAACAAGCACGTCGTCACGACTAGAACGTTCGTACATGCGATTTATAAACATTTCAAATGGAACGTATTTCCCTTCGTTACGAATTCAACCGAAGACTCGACGGTGAATGTTTTCATAATCACGACAAACTGTAATAACGCTACTGATTTTTATTTACTGTTTCTGGAAATAGCATGTAACACGGGGAACAACAACAGAACTACGAGCTTCCGTCTCGAACTCTACCTGGATTGTTTACTTCGCTGCGATTACGCGTATTTTCATAAAAACAGAAAAGAAAACATATTAGTTTATCCAACGAACGAACGTATCAAACTCGATGCACTGGGGATTCTAGGAACGACGACGACGATCGTTCGTTCGTTTTCATCGCATGAAAAACACGTTATTTACACGACCATCGCTTGCTTCCCCCTTTCACCTCCTCTCACGTCGTCAAAGAGAATCATGTGCAAAAGCTTTCACGCGGACCGTAGCAACTGCACATCAAGAACGCGGAGTATTTACTTCCAGCCAGCGTTGAATAGACACGTACGGGTCGACTCGAGTGCAACAACCCTCCATAACCGTTGGAGCAGTTGCACAACGTTCGACCAGCGATGTCGCGCAACGTGCCTCTGTCGTTGGCCGTACGACGCCCGTACGCGTGTTTCATGCCCACGGAATACTCGGACGATTCGATAGAAAACACTCGATAGCTACACTCACCGATGGAGATCTTGTCCGGATACGCTGCTGGCAGCAAGATCATTAAAAGGCCCAAAGCGGTGGTCATGATGGTGGCAGTGGAAGCCGGCCTGATGATCGAAGAAGAACTCGCGACGTTCCTGGTGTTTCCAAGCGCAGAAGACACGACACCGAGAAAAATCGTGGCGCGGCGTCGTCGCCGCGAC